AAAAAAAAAAAAAAAAAAAAAAAATTTGAGCTGCTTGCTCAGTGTACTAAATTAAACTAATGTAGCATTTTTAATCATTTTGTTTTTGGATTAACTCACTGATAAATTAATTTAGATTTATTCAACCTGATTAAATGCATTTAACCCATTTAAATTTGATTTGTAAACTAGAAGTTTTCTTCATCATTTTGGATTTGGACTACTTTAACAAATTTTGTTTGTATTATCATATGCAAAAAAAAAAAAAAAAAAAAAAAATAGGGTCACCAATTCCTTGGTTTCAGCAGTATTTGGCCAGTGAACTAAAGTACCAGACAACTCTCTGGACTGCTGTCTCTGTGTAGCAATGTTTTCATAAGACAGAGCATTATAGTAAAAGTACAGTAAACCCTTCTTCTGTTTACCGAAAGGGCAAAAGCTGGTTATATTTGATAGAATTGGCACAGGGCCAGCTCTATGGTGGAACTAGCGTGCAATATTTACCATGCATGATTCTGAACCAATCATGCACATTTATTTTTTATTTATAACCTCGGAAATAAAGCCTAAATAAAACAAATATTTTAAATGTACATTTCAGTAAATGTTTTAAATGACCAGACGTCTGGTAAACAGTTTAAGCGTACAGAATAGGCTTAAAGCGAATAGAAACGGAGTCAGAACTAGCGAATCGATGCCCGTTTTAAATGACTCACTCTTTTGTGTCGGTTCTTTTCAACGAATCGATCGAATGGTCCGAATCGCTGGTCTGAATAATGTGAACATTATTCTGAATCGTTTGGAGCGTCGTTTCGCTGTGTGGACAGTACACAGTTGGCCTACACAGGGAACAAAAAGTGCGCTGCATAAGATATCTAACTACAATCCATCGAAACCATACTTGCGTACTATCGTTTTCCTGTGATGTAGATCTTAAACACCTGCCAGTGAATCCTGTGAAGGACTCTGAAGGTAAACATCCAGCACAAGTGGCAAAACAGTAACAGTAACACAAAAAGTACTATAACATTACCATAGCTTTTACTTGTACCATGGTAATCTTTGAAGTACATTAAAGTAACTATGTAGTTTTGTGTATTTTTGCGACTTAGGAAGTGGAATTTACTGTCGTGCTGTACACATGCATTTGTTGCTGCCATAAAGCAATCAGCCCTTTTCGCGGAATATCTGCTCACCAACTTGCAGACATGGAAAACAGAAGCCTTTTGCATTATCAGAAATCACCGTACCATTGGAATGATTTCAAAATATTTAAAGGTGAGCAACTTGCATTTACTTTAATAAGTGGCAGGTAAATATCGCATATGGAAACGATATGGTATATCTCCATCTGCTATAAATGTTACTTTGTGGGCACAGTAATTAATTTATTAATTCAAAAGTAATTAATGTGTTTTATTTGATTAATAACATTTATAATATTGGCAGCTGTAAAATGGTTTAATTTCCCTTTATTATATCTCCCCCCCCCATTTATTTATTAAGCTTTTTGTCTGGATTTGATCTGGTTTTGATGTGTTGAGCAAGCCCTTCATGTTAAATTCTAGTTGTTAATTGACTATTTATGCCAATGGCAAATAAGTGTGTTGTGGCATTGATGAATATAATTGTATAGATAGGTTGATCTCTACAGCAATGTGTTTTTGCTTGTTATTCAGTAAATATTCTACAAATGAAAATATCAGTATTTAGCATATAAGCGGGGCAAATGAAGGTGAAAATAAGCAAGATTTTTTGGGTCAGTCGGTTCTAGTGCATTAAGCATGTATCAGCCTGCCTTTCTACGCGTAATGTCTGGCATTTATTTTATGGTGTGAAGTCTGTCTGTCTGTGGAATAGACATTGACCCATTTCTTCACTCTCCACTCTCACATTTTGACTCTGAGTGTCTTTCTTTCTTTCTTTCTTTCTTTCTTTCGGATCAGGTGCATGTATATCAAAGCCAGCCAATTGTGTAAGTGCCAATTATGAGTCAAATGTTTGCTTGTATGTAAAGAAAAAGCACTACTACATGAACTGTGTATATTTGCATGCCTTAGATTCTAATGCATACCTTCACAAACTCTTTCTCAAACATGACAAAACTCCTCTTCAGTTTTTGTCAGTTTACCTAAAAATAAGCCAACATCACAGTATAGTTAATAGTAGAACTTCTTTGAATACTAATTTCAAGGTAAAGCATTTTTTGTGTGTTTGTGTGCGAAAAAAAGCTAGTTAATTCCCATTAAATTGATTAATTCCTATTTATACTTTTGAGTATATAGATTTCAGATGTTAAGGATTAATTTTTCAAAAGCATGTAGGTAAACATGTAATTTCCTAGTACAAATGTGACCACTGGTTGTTGTTAATGAACTGTTAAGCTATAAGTCATGTTTGCATGTATCGAAGGTAGGACTGTTCATTTAAGGTCCCCTATGAGATTCTGACATCACATTAGAGAGGGGACGCCTTCGCCATTGCTTGACACGTCTGTCAATATTCTCAAATGATTCATCTACAGTGTCATCCAAGTGTATTGATTTATACTGATGTGCGAAGCAATTTACCATCACAGTTTTTCTAGATCAGAATACATTTGACAATGGCACATTTCATTTGGTCATGCCTTTGTTTTGAAGTCATTCCCATATATTTAACGGCGTTATGTATGACTGGGTGTCACAGAGAATTTGTCTAAACTGCTAGTTAATTCTTCTGTGTGCAATTTCCTTTTATGTCAGTCTGGTTTTCACGGTGCATGTTGCACATCCAGAAGGTGTTTCTTTTTTTGTGAGTCTTTTCCACTGAGCAAGCTGCTCCAAGGCGGTCTGGAAGATGTTTCCGATGGACTGCAGCAGGAATGTGTGTATGTGATCGCCATATTCCGGCCATCCCATAGTGGGAAGGCAGACCGGGTTCTCAACCCTTCATTTGTTCATTCTGCAAAGACAGGATGTTTACAGACTTTGGAGCCAATTTTTGACAAAGTCGCCATAAATCAATTCATTTAGCCTTTTAAGTGGTGTGTGTATGCATGGCAGATGTGGGGATAAGTTCAGTCAATTAGAAAGTGCTGAGGCATGAGGCAACTTTTGCAACAATTACGCCTCCACAGTTCATCAAGGTTTCCATTGATTTATGGAGTTGCAAGTGTTGTTGTTGTTTCCAGCTTGTCTGTGAGGTCAGGGAAAGCCTGCTTTAGCAGTTTAGATACCTGTGTCTGATGTTGAATATAGATTTAATCTGCCTTTATTTGCATTAACTGCTTATTTGAGTCACTATTACATTCTCCTCACCACAGTTTCCTCAGGCGAAGCTGTAAAACTGTTTTCTGCTGTCTCAATTAACTGGCATATATTTTCGAGACTTGAATACTGAAACATGAGCGGCCTCATGTTGTACATCTGTATTGCACTTTCCTTTGCTGCAATAAATTTAGTCTGTAAAACAAACTGTTTACACTTGGTAAACATCTTTGTACACTGCTAAATAGTAGGGGTGTGTCATATTGACAAAAAATTATATCTTAATTTCTTTTCTGGGTAATTTTTTAGATAAAAAAAGTGGGGGGAGGAAAATAGTATACAAAAAAAAAACACTTAAACTGGCAGTAAGTGGCTGGCAAATCCGTGTCTTAATGATTTAACATTCAAATGATTTGTTCAAAATGATTAATTTATTATTGATTAATTTAGAAATGAAGCAAGTGACTGTTTTTATGAATGGATCATTGAATCATTGACTCAGATGATTTGTTCAAAAACAGGTTTATTCTGGAATAAAACACTGCAGTGTTGCTCTGAGATGCACACAATTTCTACTCCAGCTTTGTTTGGAACTTTTTTTCATTGACTGAACAGAAAAAAAGACAATATTGTGTCTAAAATGTAGCTCACTTAATATTAACTGCTTTTTTATGAATCGACCAGAATTTTAATTGCACTGCAATTCTGAATATAACGATCCACTTGAAATATCATGATTGTGCTTTTGGAAGCAACACAGTATTGTCTTTTGTGTATTTATTTATTTTATTTTATCACTAATATAAAAATAAGCAGTAATGCGCTGACATTGTTATTGATGTATGTAGTCAAAAAATCAGAGAAATCTTGTAATTGTGTTACCTGAGATAAATGTTGAAGGGGCCATGAACTGAGAAAACAAAATTCCTTTGATATTTTGACATATAAGAGGTCATTGTACTATAAAAACCTCCTGTAAGTTTCAGAACTCAAAACTTTCTCATTAGTTTAAAAACAGCTTATATTGAAGGCAGTCTGCCAAAATGGCAGGGTGTCTAATGTGCCACTCTATGATGTAATAGTGTGGCTAAACACCGCCTCCGCAGAAGAAGATCAGCGCTTGCTTCTACATCACTGCCTGTTTAGCCCCGCCCACCGATTCGCGCCTGTAGTGTAAATAATGAGAGAGGCGAACGCAGATCTACGCAGAAACCAAACTATAAAGATGCTCCGAAGAAAACAAGATGCTGTGCAGTCAGTGCCAGATTGTGGAAAAACAGTGTTTGCGTTCTCCTCCTTCTGATCCCAACATTAGGGAAGAGTGGATGAACTTTATTTTTAATGAAGTTCCAAACTGCGTCAGTAAGAAGATTAAAACTTTGGCACAATTCGATGCGGGATTTTCAGAAAGATTGAGATGATGCTGTGCTGACTATATTGGATCCGACAGTAAGTGTGAGTGACTGTTTTATTATGTGGTCACTACACTCTAAAAAATGCTGGGTTAAATACTGTGGCTGTGTTTGGAATTATTTTTGTTGTAGAAATAGCGCAAAAACAGGAAATATGGCATCTAAAATGTAAGTCTCTTAATTAACTTCTTGCTTATAGAACTGTTGTAAAACAAATCAATATCACATTTGTAATCATGGTAATTTTTTTGAGAAAAACGGCACTCTTCGTGTGAAATTAACTGTATGAAGTGGTAAAAATATATACATTTTCTGCCCCCATGTCTTGAATTTGT